TGAAAGAAACTTATAGGTATCCAAAGCATATTGGACCAGTGCTTCATTCTCACCTGGGTTGATTGTACACCTGAAAATTTGAAGGACTCATGTGAACTGTACTCTTCCTTCCCAATGTCAGGTGGAAGGATAGATATAAAATAATAAGATAATCACTGAAATCACTATGGAATAAAATGAGACCACATAATTATAACAAAAACAACAATCTAATCTCACCCAATGACAAATTACCTTTGGCACTTAATATCAAGGAACACCCCTCCCCTCTCTTATTCTCTTCATGCATTTTACCACTCCTAAACCAACAATCTCACCACCTTTAAAATAGTCCATTCCTTCTATTCAAATGCCTTACCTACCTTTCAAATATTCCCAACCTACAACCAAGATATTTACCCTACCTCTCATTGGAATGGGAGGTTGAATAGAACGGTACTTAACGATTATCGAGTAAGCTATTTGTATGACATATAATAAACTGGTAGAAGTATAATTTCAAACGTGTCCCAAGCATATTGTGTCTAGATAGGGGAAACCAAAAAATCAAGGGCTAACCCATCACCTCATCTAAGAAATCAAGAAACAAAAATAAATCCGGATCTACAACTTGCAAATCAACATTTGAGAGAAATTAAAACATATATAAAATAACTACTATGCATTGAACAAGTCTTTGTGATGTCATAAAAATACACCAAAAAACAGAAAGTGATACTCAACATCAACTTTTAAAATTATCCCAACACGAACTAAATAGATTATTCTCATCAAAATGAAACAACCAAACTCATCAAGTATAGTTTAGTTGCATTTGTTGCATTTTTTTAAAACTCATCAAGTATATTATAACTAATTTTCCAAAGACGTGATAGAAAGAATAATGTCAAATTGGAAAATACATGAAGCATACTTGGGACATTGTGAAGTTAAGTTTTCATTTTACTTGAGCCTTACTTAACACCTACATTATCCAATGCAGCCAAGATGATATGGGACTTGCAAGAAATCAAAGTTGATTAATATATTTTAATTTATTAATAATTATTAGGACCCACAAAAATACTATTGCTAAATTTTCATTTTATTAGGACTTTAAGAGGCTTACATGAGAATTTTAGTGGTTATTACATTCGATAGAGTTAGTTTTAATGTGTTTTGTAGTCTTAATTTTAATGTGGTTTTTATGTGAGAAATAAGTATTATCATTTAACAAAGGTACATCATAAACAGACCAGAACAATCCAGTTCCAGTACCGAGTATAGTAGTTCAAACAAAGAAACCAAAAGGCCAACTGAAATAGAATCCACAAAGTTGTTTCTTCATTATCAACAAAAACAACTACATCTCTATACAAGTAAAAACAAAAATTATTTAACTGAAGCTCAAGATTATTTTTCTTTCTATTTAACTGAAGCTCAAGATTAAGAAACATTTAACTGAAGCTCAAGATTATTTTTCTTTCTATTTAACTGAAGCTCAAGATTAAGAAACATTTAACTGAAGCTCAAGATTATTTTTTCTTTCTATTTTTATTTACAAGAAGCACATAATTTATTTTTAAGCAACTCAATGCCCAAACCGGCTTTTGAAACTTCACTCTGTTAAAATCTTTAGCCTATGATTCCTCTAAAAACATCATCTACGAAGCAAATAAATTTCGTTTCTATAATAAGTGGAATTGTTCACTTAACACATTCAGGAATTCTACAATCCTCCTTCTACTCCTCCTTTATAACCTGCATTCCATACAATTAAAAAATGAACAATAAAACATGTTGTTGTACTCCAAAGTCAACATTTTCTTTAATAGAGAACAAGAACAACATTTTTATTGCCATGTCTCACAATAAATTATCAAACTCTTGACATAGACTTAGTCCTACATCAAAATTAAATTTTCTTAAAAAGTCTTGAAAAAGAGAGCAAAGATGTCACTATCTGACAGGTGGCTAATTGTCCATAAGCTATTTGATAGATCAATATGCTAAGATAAATTTCAGGAGACAAACTTGGGATCCATAGTTACTTCGTTTGCTGGTCATACAATTGTACTTGGTTGAAAAGGGCTATGCTGTACTCTTTCTTCCCCATATGTGAAGACGGGGCATGCAGTAATCAGACAATTATGTTCTGACATGAAAATAGATACAACTATGGATTAAGTTACGATACTGTCAACTGCTGCAATAGCGAGGGGTAGTCGGTTCTTAAACTTTCAAACACATTTTTAAACATTTGGGTATTGAACCAACAAACCAGTCCTCAAAACCTCTCTATGACATTTTTACATACACTTGGTGAGCATAAATCAAAAAGATTAGTTTGATCACCAACACAGGAAAACAGACCAACCCTTTTTGACAAACATTGGCACATGAGGCATGAATGAATGACAGATCTCTCTTGTAACCCACTGAAACTTGCACACACACACACACAGACACACACACACACATATATATATATATATATATATATTCTTGATTTCATTAATTAATCGAGCCGAAAGGGGGTCATAGGGAGGGAAATAGGGGGTTTTGCAGAGGGGTTTGGGAAAAGGGTTTCACCTGGTGGTAAGGGAGTTGCAGAGAGGGGGAAAGGGGAAGAAGAGATAGATTGAGAAGGATATATCTATTACTTAAAAATAATTCACCACATCAATTTTTTTATAATTATTTCGGTAAAACTTTATTTTAAACTACTAAAATACAACAAAGGTTAAAATTAAATTATTTAGGCCCTTCATTTTTTAAACAAAAATTTGGGTCTTCTGTGAGACCGAGGTCGACAGACCCGAGAGAGAGACCGAGAGTAAGAGAGAACCTGTGAGGATGCGGCGACGGTCGTCGTGATTTGCGGCGGCGGCAACGGCGGCGGTAGCGGCGGCGGTCTATGTTGATGTGAGTTTGGGTGAGGTTTGGTGCTGACAGAATTTGCGTGTGAGAGAGCACCAGATGTGTAAAATTAAACAAGCGCCAACATTTATTCATTTCCCTCCATGTCATGCAACCTTTAGCGACAAAACTACTAATTTGTCAGAAAATAGTGGCAAATGTTATTAACGGCGACCAAACCATTTGTCGCCAAAAGTGAATATTGGCCGACTAACTTCCTGGTAGCCAAAAACTAATAGTAAATGTCTGTTTTGGGTTAGAAACAAAATACATAAATAATTAATAACAAATCGCGACTAAATATTTTAGTCGCTAATTATTTTTTAATCCCTCCAAAATTTGAAATCTCCCTCCAAATATTTTAGTTTTTGCGACTAAAATATTCTTGCGGCTAAAAATATACTTTTGGCGACCAAACTTTTGGTCGCCAAAGATAAAAAATAATATTTTTCTTTTCATTCGGCTACTAAACAATTTTAGTAGCTAAAACTAACTATACGTCTACTAAAATATACTTTTGCCGCTGAAAATATACTTTTGGCTACCAAACTTTTGGTCGTCAAATATAAATTTTATTTTATTTTTTTTCATTTGGCTACTAAAATTTTAGTAGCCAAAACTATCTATACGGCTACTAATTTTTTTTGTCACCAATTGTGATATTTTTAGCGATTAAATTTTTTTTGAGATGCCAATAATCAATATTTCCCGACTAAAAAAATTAGTAGCTAAATATTTGACTTTTGCCAACTGATATTATTTTTAGTCGCTAATTCACAACTTTTGGCAGCTAAATTTTTTTTAATCGCTAAAAGTAGTCGCCTAAAGTGCATTTTGTTGTAGTGACATAAACAAATAAATGTTCTCAAAATAAATAAATAAATAAAAAGAAGAGAAAAGAGAGGTTGAACCAGGGTGCCTGAAAGTAGCAACTACCCGTTTGTTTGCTTTGATAACAATATTTTTCTGCTTTGGCCACTTGATAACATTCTATTTCTTGGGGTTGGGGTTGGGGGAAGGATGTCATGGCAAGGGCAGAGCAAACCGGTTCTATGGCATATTTTTTTGGCCACTTGGTGAAGTTCTACTTCTAGGGATTGGGGGAGAGATGCCATGGGTAGAGCAAACCTATTCTACAGCATGAAAGCTTGCACACCAAATCTCACCTCGGGTGAAAGTCAAACTTAGGACTTCGTAGAAAGGTTGCCCCAAGAGGGCCAAGACCCCAAGTCCTGGCCAGCTAACCCCAATGGTTGACTACCTCTTTTTTTTTTTTTTTTTTTTTTGGGTACAAAGGAAGAAAGGGAAAGAAAACAAATATAAAGGACAGGTGCTAACCTACTAATTCCATATCCCGTATCTGTATCCGTGTGGCCAATTCGGGTTGAACAATATAAAGTATAAGGTACCATCTACTAAGGAAAATAAGTACATAAAAGCACCCATTACTATATATACATTTGAATAATGAAATTCTCTCTTTTTATCATTGACAAATATTATATGCAAAACATAATCATATATATATATATATATTACAGGCTTTCTAGTGAAGGTTTCTCTAGCTGATAAAGGGATAGATTGATCATACAACTAGAAAATAGTAAAATAACACAACCCATTGATTTTTTGTTTCCCTCTAGATTTTTCAATCCAGAGAGGGAATTTACGAGATTGAAGCTGGTATGAAAGAGCATAAAATACTTGTTGTAAGAATGAACTTTCTCACTATCATCTGCAAACATTAAAATCATTCTTGATTTTGAATAAATAGTCAATTTATCAAATGACAGGCTTTGAAAGGCTAGTAACATATAATAATAACAATAATAAGTAAAACAAGTTTTAATAAATCATTGTCCAAAATGATAGTTGTTGCACAAATTTCTCTGATAACCTTTTTTTTTCAAGTTGATACAAGTTGAATTCGGGAATGTTGGTCTCTCTGAGACTGACAGATTTTTGAGTCTCCCTGGTAAAGTCTCCCCTTGGTAATACCCAAATCTGAAACAATATCTAAATCTTCTTAAACTCGCACTTCAGATTACAATTTTAGATACAGCTGATTTTCCATCTCCTTTCTCAGCACCTACAGCTGCATTCAGAACGACAAATGCAAGGAGAAATTAACAATCCATAAAATTAGTAATGATCATAAAGAAATCACAGAAAGAGAGAAAGCATTGCTGTATATGGATTTTAAATTACAGTGCATAGGTGTAATTGATGCCTTCCCCTCATTAGACAGTTAATTCATGCAAACAACATACTCAACTACAGACTAAAGGTACAAATAAGCTACTAAATGTCAACGGTAATTTTCAATTTGAAATTGCAAATTTTGAGTTTCCAGAACATATCCACAGGCCAAAAGAAAGAGGGGAAATTTGCTATAGGATTGGAAAAAAAAAGTGATTGCCAAAAGGTGGAGGCACTTGAAGAAATAACTTAGAAGATTGTTATTTCCCTAGATCATAATCATGTGGTGTTTTACTGTTTTTGTGCTTTGAATCATCAGCCAATTACAGTCATGACAAGGGAAACTTGACCGCAAGAACTTTCACTCAACCAGAGACAGTAGTGATAAAAAGATGCAACATGCTAGTCAACTTGAAGGTCTGTTGGTGGTAATATGGAAACTTAGGCTCAGGTCTTCTAATGGGCTTCAACACTGTCTATCTCTACCTTGTTTGACAAGGAAACAAATTTATTTGGATCAAACAAAATGATCATCTAAAGGAGTGAGCTACCCTCTGGTAACACTTCTGATCAAATGATCGCCCCACTCAAAACCTCCTCTCTACAAATGTAAAAATTCAAGGAAAGTGATCAAGAAGAGGAAAGGCTCTTCCATTCTCTACGGCCAATTGGTCCTAACGTGTTTTTTAGGCAAGTGAGAATTTCATTAAAAGAAACAATTTAAGAATCAAGGAAGGAAGACCTTCCAAATACAAGAATCAAGAAAAACAAGAGGCAACTAGACTAATGAGGAGCAAAACTTCTCTCATAGATCTGCGAGTTCTTACACATTAACAGATAAGATTGCTTAAAGAAGCAAACTGAGAACATTTAACTCTAATATCAGACTTAATCTGATTCATCAAATAAGAAGGCCTATGACATCCTTTGAAAACCCTATGATTTCTCTCCTGCCAGATATAGTACAGCATTGCCGCCCAAGCCATTTTCCTCACAATATTGCAAAAAGACTTCCCACTAAATTTGCCAACAATCCAAGATCTCATTATCCTAAGAATATTGAACCTTAGAAATGCAACAAGATGGCACATCTACTCCCTGTCCTAATGTTGGATGTGGTCCCATTTGGCATTCTAACAATATGTGAATTAACTCTCACAGTTTATCCACCAATTCAGAGTTGTGCTTGAATAATTGTTCAAAACCCACTTTGTATGCAACCCCTTTAACCACTCCCCATTATCACCCATCAGCAAATTGCCCTTGGAGCATCTCTGTTAAGCTTCACCAGTTGTTAGTAAGAAAAGCCCATGCTGTAAAAACTTTGTTCTCTGCCTACTTTTTTGCTGAAATATTATACTATGTCAACCACTTCAAGAGGCCTGATAAGGGGTGACATGTTTAAAACATGTTTAAAACAGTTTCTGCCATCATTATTCATTCCTGTAATATAGTACACCATCTGCTTCTGTACTTTCAGTGCTACAGAGATAATTAGTTTGGAATGATGAAATACAGTACTAATTTGAAGCCACAAATATCAAGTACAATGTACTATTAAAAAATATTCTAAAGAATATTTCAACTACTTATAAAAATTAAAAAATGATGCACCAACTATATTTACCAAATTCCGACACTCATCAGTTCTGACCAGATAAATCAAATTGTATGAGTAGATTGAACTCAAAATTCCTGAAAGGATTGACATTTATCTCATCTGTTAGTCCTCACGACCAAAAAAAATTGTAGGAAAACAGCTTTTACAGATAAGTGAAGGAAGGGTATGAAAGTTGCAAAATAGAGAAGACTGTCAATTGAGGCTATAAAGTTTGGAAAACTAGAAGAGAGCAGAAGCTGGGAGTAAGAAAGGAAGAGGGTACCTCCGTTGAAGGAAGTCCACAAAAATAGGATGATGTCTTGGGTTCACAAAGTTCAAGATCTAAAGGCAATTCATCCGTAGTAAAAAATAAAACAAAATATCATCACCAATTAGCAAGTGCTAATAGAAAGTAACCCAATTGAAAAATGTTGACGGATGCAGACAAGGAAAACAAGTATACATTTTTATTTATTTTTTTGATAAATAAGTATACATATAGAATTCAACCACAAAAAAAAAAAAAAAAAAAAAAAAACCCAACAAAACACAAAAAAAAAAAAAAAAAGACATACAACTCGGAACCAAAGTTGACATGTGCATTCTTAGTTACTTTTCTGTGGTTTAATTATGTGTATGTGGACTAACTCCATAAAAAATATCATTCATCAAGGCTTGTCAGAGCCTAAGCAATCCAAAGCACAATAAAGTCAGAGTTAGATACCATTAACACCCATATAAAGGACTAATTGCAAAGGTTTTGTACCTAAAGTGGGTCTAAAATTTATCCTTTGGGAATCCAAGGGGGGCCCATATGAGTTTTTTAAGTAGGCTTAAAGCAAAGAATAATTATATCTTTAAAAAATTAATAATAATCCTTGGGAGTTAGGGGCTAGTGTCCTCATGCTTTTCATCACAGTCTTCCTCTGATGTTGAGAATGCAACTGCAAACATCCATCTCTCAAGGAATAAGGCTCCAAATCCTAATAAGATGACTATAGATTTCATTTTTTTGCTTTTATAATTTAAAAGAAAATTATATACAAGTAAACAAAAAGTCCCATGAAATGTGCACTTGATTAGTGTGTGGAGAAAAAATGAGACCCACACTGTTGATGAAGAGATCAACGAAGGGATAACACCACATCATGAATTCACAAAATAGGATACCATTCCAACCGGCCTATGCCAGATGAACATTCTGAAGCCAAACTCCATGAATATAGTAGTAATCAATTTACTGTATTCAAGGTTCTGTATTGCATATCTGGCCCTTAATGGATGTATGATTTATATAGAGTGTGGAATAACTAACTTAGTGCCCCCCATATGTGGAGGTGCTGAGCATTATCCAAATAAATTGTTAGGATTCTCCAAGATTGTCACCACCATAATGGCTTGGTAGAGTGGCTGGGCAGAGAATCATAGCAAAATGCCTAACAATACACCGGAGCAGAATCCCTAGCAGAACATTCGAGTAGTGCACCCTAGAAGAGCATCCTAGCAATGCACCTGAGCAAAGTGGTCAAACATGAAATTATGCCACATGTCCATGCTAAGAACCATATAATTTCATGCTTATTTTTAGCCAACTACTTTGCAACTTCCACTTTCTTGTTGACACCTCGATGGCGGTAAATGACTTTGCCAACATTCAGTTTAGTGTCTCATGGATGCATGTCACATATATCAGAGGGGGTGTTTCAATTCAATCTCCACCGCAATTGTGTCAATCTTCACTTTCACAACTGAAGAGAGAGAGAGAGAGAGAGAGAGAGACAGAGAGACTAAGGCAGTAGTGATACACTACATATGTTGTTCTAGACAGCCAATACACATGCTATTATGGTGTTATCGGCACTCCACCGTCCCCCAACGTAGTTGGGTCCATTAACGACTTCATTGTCGAGCTTAGAGAATCATAACCACAATATTATCAAGCCCCAACTGTGTAATTGTTCTCAGCCCACCAAGTGGTCTTTGACATAAAGAGAGAGAAAGCAAATGCATATAAATAAATGTACACTTACACATATATAGAGAGAAAGCGGGGATATTGTGCTTCTCTTTTAGACGAGTGATGGTAATGTGTCAATGTAGGTATGTTGTGCTTCCCTTTATAAATAATATGTAATGAGATGATTGCATGCTTTGTAAATATGAATTTGAATGATGAGGTCGGAAAAGCTTCGCATGATCTGAGCTCTGCAGTAGATATCTCTTGAACAGTTGATTGATTGAACCCACGATTGTTGAGCATCGTGCATGGGTGCATACCAAGCTGCATCATAGTGACAACTAGGATAATCCCCAATAAGATAAGATAATGTGGTGATGTTGCCAAGAAGAATAGTGTTGCTAAACTTGGGGACCGAACTGCGTTTCTTGCAATCAGAAAGTGTAGAGTGGCATTCCCAGTTGTTCAATAATAGTGTTGCATGGCCATTAGTTTGCTAAGAAGAACCATTCATGGTCACATTAATGTTCGGCAACAAGCTCTGCCTATTGCATGGCTGCCTCCATTTGTGGCAATAGTGGTCAGTTGTTAGAGCTCAAAATAGCATAAAATTATATGGATCCCAACATGGACACTTGTCATGATTTCATGTTCGGCAACTTTGCTTAGGTGAATTGCTCGAATGCTCTGTTAAGGTGCACTCTGCTCGGGTTAACTACTTAAATCCTCTGCGAGGCACTCTACTTGGATCCACTACTAGGAACTTTGCGTAGGTACACTCTACTTGAATGCTCTAATAGACATTCTACTCACTACTAGGCACTCTGCTCAGATTCTCTACTCAACCAATTTGCTAGGCCACTCTGCTTCCACCTAGAAGAATGCTAACAGTTTATTTGGATAATACTTTTCACCTCCATATAAAGGGGTAGTATCCCACAAGAGGTGGAGTAACAATCTCGATTAATTATTTCGCGTTCTATATGAAGAGCATACCCACAAAGGGTCAAGTATGCAATACAAAACCTTGAATACAATAAATTGATTGCTATTATATTCATGGATGATATTAACTGTCGCATCAATGTGGCCACCCAACGTAGGCTGGTCGGAACACTAGCGGTGTCCTATTCTACAGATTCATGGTGCATTTGTCAAACCTTCGTTGATCAGTGTGGATCTTGTTTTTCCCCCCATGCAATTATTATCTTTTCCAAACGAATAAATTAGGCAGAGGATCTCAAAACAATAGACCAGCTTGTTTAAATCTTATTATTCAACAACAAAGCTTGCAAGACTGAAACTAAATAGGGTGGTGGAAATAATGTTGTCTCATTAATATTGGGTTGGGAGGGAAATTAGTGTGGTGTCTCAATATTAAAATGCCCTCATCCGCCAAAATTTCGATAAAACTAGAAATATCAGCAACAAAATAGAGCCCAAAAAATCAAAACCCTTTGAAGGGTTTAAACCCTAAAACCCTTTAAGTGCCTAAATTAAAATAACAACTTATTAAAACAAAAACACTTGAACCTCCAAAACCCTAGAAATGTTTGAGGCTGGGTCTAACCCAAAACCAACCATCCCCACCCCTAAGTCAAAACTGTCCAACATTCAATAACTATTTCTCTCTAATCTTTAGATAAAAAATAAAATTCTCAGCAACCAAACAGAGCCCAAAAAATCAAAACCCTTTTTGAAGGGTTTAATCCCAAAAATTAAATATTAACTTCCTAAATTTCCACCTATTTTCTCAACAACGAAAACTCAAAATACAGATAAATATATGGATATATATATAGAGAGAGAGAGAGGGGGGGGTTATTACTAGATTGGAAGGTGGTGGAGGATTCGCCGTAGATGGATTTGAGCTTGGAGAGAGGGACGAAGGAAGTTTCGGGGGAAGAAGAGGCTTCGGCGAAGAGCTGTTGCTTCCAATCCCACATGGTCTTTTTCATGGCTTTGTTGGATTTGAGAAGCGAGTCCATCTCGGCCTCTAGGGTTTTGATATTCCTCTGTTGGCTCAGTGACCTCACGCTCAATGCCCCGAACGCACCCAGCAAGACGACGTTGATCACCGTGTTGTTTGATGAAGCTCTCCTCGCTGCGTTCATCACTTTGCTTGCCCACTCCATTGTTGTTTGTCCACCGCTCATCAGTGTTTTAGACTGTTTGCTGTGTAGAATTTCATTTTTTTTTGGGCTTTGGCATGTACGGTAGCATATATATATATATATATATATATTTTATTTTTAGTCATATTTAATAATATTTTATATATATAACCAAATCAAACGAAGGCTTAAGTCCCATCAAATGGGGTCGGCTACATGAATCCTTCTTCTCCACGCGGCCCTATCAAAAGTCATTTCATTAGTCAAATTAAGTAGATTCATATCTCGGCTACATGAATCCTTCTTCTCCACGCGGCCCTATCAAAAGTCATTTCATTAGTCAAATTAAGTAGATTCATATCTCTATTTATAACGCTAGTCAACGTTAATCTAGGCCTACCTCGTCCCCTAACACTTCCATCTACCGTTACAGCATCGCATCTCTTCACTACTGCCTCTGTTGGTCTCCGTTGAATATGACCAAACCATCTCAAACGATTCTCTCTCAACTTATCTTCTATCGGTGCTACTCCTACCCATTCCCGAATACACTCATTCCTAATCCTGTCATGTCTAGTCTTACCACACATCCACCTTAGCATCCTCATCTCAGCGGCCGATCTCTTATCTACATGTTGTTTCTTAGTTGCCCAACACTCCGTCCCATACAACATAGCTGGTCTAATAGCCGTTCTATAAAACTTACCTTTTAGTCTAGTGGGTATTCGTTTATCATGTATATGTGCCTATGGTAACAGAAATTACAAGAAACTAGGACTAAAATATTATTACAACGCATGTTTCAAACAGAAGGCAATAGCATGCATGGTTAGGACTATACACAATGGTAACATTCAACAATTTATAGAGATGTAAGACACCACAATTTATCAAAAAAAATTTAACGGTAATCAACAGAAGCAGATAAGTACTGCTATAACTTTTCCCATGTCCAATCCACAGTTTAACATTCACTATTTTAAGTCATCAAGAAGAAGTGCATACTCTGAAATTGCTTCATAACCATCATCTGCAAAACAGATTTGCAAATGCAAAGGCAGAGGCCTCCATTCATGCCCAGAGATGGGAAACTGAGGTTTGTTGGCTTGTTGCATCCCTATTTATTCATGGATTTTGTTTAAGGCAGGGAGAGAGACTAGGGCAGTAGTGATACACTACATATGTTGTTCTAGACAGCCAATACACATGCTATTATGGTGTTATCGGCACTCCACCGTCCCCCAACGTAGTTGGGTCCATTAACAACTTCATTGTCGAGCTTAGAGAATCATAACCACAATATTATCAAGCCCCAACTGTGTAATTGTTCTCAGCCCACCAAGTGGTCTTTGACATAAAGAGAGAGAAAGCAAATGCATATAAATAAATGTACACTTACACATATATAGAGAGAAAGCGGGGATATTGTGCTTCTCTTTTAGACGAGTGATGGTAATGTGTCAATGTAGGTATGTTGTGCTTCCCTTTATAAATAATATGTAATGAGATGATTGCATGCTTTGTAAATATGATTTGAACGATGAGGTCGGAAAAGCTTGCATGATCTGACTCTGCAGTAGATATCTCTTGAACAGTTGATTGATTGGACCCACGATTATTGAGCATCGTGCATGGGTGCATACCAAGCTGCATCATAGTGACAACTAGGATAACCCCAATAAGATAAGATAATGTGGTGATGTGCCAAGAAGAATAGTGTTGCTAAACTTGGGGACCGAACTGCGTTTCTTGCAATCGGAAAGTGTGAGTGGCATTCCCAGTTGTTCAATAATAGTGTTGCATGGCCATTAGTTGCTAAGAAGAACCATTCATGGTCACATTAATGTTCGCAACAGGCTCTGCCTATTGCATGGCTGCCTCCATTTTGTGGCAATAGTGGTCAGTTGTTAGAGCTCAAAATAGCATAGAATTATATGGATCCGCATGGACACTTGTCATGATTTCATGTTCGGCAACTTTGCTTAGGTGAATTGCTCGAATGCTCTGTTAAGGTGCACTCTGCTCGGTTAACTACTTAATCCTCTGCGAGGCACTCTACTTGGATCCACTACTAGGAACTTTGCGTAGGTACACTCTACTTGAATGCTCTAATAGACATTCTACTCACTACTAGGCACTCTGCTCAGATTCTCTACTCAACCAATTTTGCTAGGCCACTCTGCTTCCACCTAGAAGAATGCTAAAGTTTATTTGGATAATACTTTTCACCTCCATATAAAGGGGTAGTATCCCACAAGAGGTGGAGTAACAATCTCGATTAACTATTTCGCGTTCTATATGAAGAGCATACCCACAAAGGGTCAAGTATGCAATACAAAACCTTGAATACACATAAATTGATTGCTATTATATCATGGATGATATTAACTGTCGCATCAATGTGGCCCAACGTAGGCTGGTCGGAACACTAGCGGTGTCCTATTCTACAGATTCATGGTGCATTTGTCAAACCTTCGTTGATCAGTGTGGATCTTGTTTTTCCCCCCATGCAATTATTATCTTTTCCAAACGAATAAATTAGGCAGAGGATCTCAAAACAATAGACCAGCTTGTTTAAATCTTATTATTCCAACACAAAGCTTGCAAGACTGAAACTAAATAGGGTGGTGGAAATAATGTTGTCTCATTAATATTGGGTTGGGAGGGAAATTAGTGTGGTGTCTCAATATTAAAATGCCCTCATCCGCCAAAATTTCGATAAAACTAGAAATATCAGCAACAAAATAGAGCCCAAAAAATCAAAACCCTTTGAAGGGTTTAAACCCTAAAACCCTTTAAGTGCTAAATTAAAATAACAACTTATTAAAACAAAAACACTTGAACCTCCAAAACCCTAGAAATGTTTGAGGCTGGGTCTAACCCAAAACCAACCATCCCCACCCTTAAGTCAAAACTGTCCAACATTCAATAACTATTTCTCTTAATCTTTAGATAAAAAATAAATTCTCAGCAACCAAACAGAGCCCAAAAAATCAAAACCCTTTTTGAGGGTTTAATCCCAAAAATTAAATATTAACTCCTAAATTTCCACCTATTTCTCAACAACGAAAACTCAAAATACAGATAAATATATGGATATATATATAGAGAGAGAGAGAGGGGGGGTTATTACTAGATTGGAAGGTGGTGGAGGATTCGCCGTAGATGGATTTGAGCTTGGAGAGAGGGACGAAGGAAGTTTCGGGGGAAGAAGAGGCTTCGGCGAAGAGCTGTTGCTTCCAACCACATGGTCTTTTTCATGGCTTTGTTGGATTTGAGAAGCGAGTCCATCTCGGCCTCTAGGGTTTTGATATTCCTCTGTTGGCTCAGTGACCTCACGCTCAATGCCCGAACGCACCCAGCAAGACGACGTTGATCACCGTGTTGTTTGATGAAGCTCTCCTCGCTGCGTTCATCACTTGCTTGCCCACTCCATTGTTGTTTGTCCACCGCTCATCAGTGTTTTAGACTGTTGCTGTGTAGAATTTCATTTTTTTTTGGGCTTTGGCATGTACGGTAGCATATATATATATATATATATATATTTTATTTTAGTCATATTATTTTTATTATATATATATATATATAACCAAATCAAACGAAGGCTTAAGTCCCATCAAATGGGTCGGCTACATGAATCCTTCTTCTCCACGCGGCCCTATCAAAAGTCATTTCATTAGTCAAATTAAGTAGATTCATATCTCGGCTACATGAATCCTTCTTCTCCACGCGGCCCTATCAAAAGTCATTTCTAGTCAAATTAAGTAGATTCATATCTCTATTTATAACGCTAGTCAACGTTAATCTAGGCCTACCCCGTCCCCTAACACTTCCATCTACCGTTACAGTATCGCATCTCTTCACTACTGCCTCTGTTGGTCTCCGTTGAATATGACCAAACCATCTCAAACGATTCTCTCTCAACTTATCTTCTATCGGTGCTACTCCTACCCATTCCCGAATACGCTCATTCCTAATCATGTCCTGTCTAGTCTTACCACACATCCACCTTAGCATCCTCATCTCAGCCACACTCATCTTATCTACATGTTGTTTCTTAGTTGCCCAACACTCCGTCCCATACAACATAGCTGGTCTAATAGCCGTTCTATAAACTTACCTTTTAGTCTAGTGGGTATTCGTTTATCGCACAATACCCCAGACGCACTTCTCCACTTACACCATCCCGCCTTAATCCTATGGGCCACATCTGCATCAATCTTCCAGCTGTTGTGATAATTGACCCTAAATAAAGAAAATGTTCACTCTTAGGCAGTTCTTGGTTCTCAATCTTCACTTATCCTCTGCTTTCATTGTTTACTGTTACTAAATTTACACTCCATGTACTCTGTCTTAGTTCTGCTTATTCGAAACCCTTTAGATTCAAGAGCTTTCTCCAGATCTCCAACTTTGTGTTAACTCCTTCTCTAGTCTCATCCACTAACACAATATCGTCTACAAAAAGCATACACCATGGCACGTCATCCTGAATATTTATCGTCAACTCGTCCATAACTAAAGCAAAAAGATAAGGACTTAAGGTAGATCCTTGGTGTAACCCTACAGTGATAGGAAATTCATTTGTTTCTCCAGCTGGCGATCTAATAGTGGTCACCACCCCTTCATACATGTCCCTAATCACGTCAATGTAGCCTTTTGTCACCCCTTTCTTCTCTAACGCCCACCATATTATATCTCGGGGCACTCTGTCATATGCTTTTCAAGGTCGATAAACACCATATGAATGTCTCTTTTCTTTTCTTATACTTTTCTATTACTCTCCTCAAAAGATAGATCGCTTCCATTGTTGACCTACTAGGCATAAACCCAAATTGATTCTCTGACACCTCTGTTATGTCTCGCAATCGATGTTCCATCACCCTCTCACACACTTTCATTATATGACACATTAGCTTAATTCCTTCTATAGTTGTTACAATTCTGGACATACCTTTATTCTTATAGATTGGTACTAAAAAACTCTTCCTTCACTCATCTGGCATGTTCCTAGTCAACAAATTTTGCTAAAATAACCTAGTCAACCAAGCAACTCCCTTTTTACCCAAACGCTTCCAAGCTTCAATAGGATATCATCAGGTCCTAAAGCCTTATTTGATTTCATATTCTTAAGTGCAATCTCCACTTCAAATTTTCTAATCCTGCGATAGAACCTATAGTCTTGGTTTATCGTATTACTGATTATTTCTTCCCCTATTGTCGTACTTCCATGTTCCTCATTTAACAGTTTCTCAAAAATAATTCTTCCATCTTTCCTTAATCTCATCGCCTTCACCAATACCTTAGAATCCTCACTCTTGATACACTTTACTTGATTAAAATCTCTTGTTTTCCTCTCCCGTATCTTAGCAAGTTGGTATACCCTCTTCTGTCCCTCCTTACTATCTAGTCTAGTGTATAGGTCATCATAAACTTTCAATTTAATCTCTCTCACTACTTTCTTGACCTCCTTATTAGCCAATCTATAGCTCTTAAGGTTTTCCTCAGTTCTATCCTTCTGCCACTTTTTAAAGCACTCTTTTTTTGCCTTAACTACCGCTTGGACCTCTTCCTCCACCACAAGTTTCCCTAGAGCTGGGTCCTGTTCCTTTCGACTCTCCAAGCACTTCCCTTGAGATTCTCCTCATACAATTGGCCATCGAATTCCACATAGTGTTAGCATCACCTTCTAAATCCCAAGTACCTTCTTTATCCATTCGATTCTTAAATATTTCTAGTTTATCCCTTTTAAGTCCACCATCTCGTCCTACGACGCCCACCATCCTTCCTAGCTTGGTATTGCCCTCTAAAACATAAATCTAGTATCAAAATCCTATGTTGAGAGACCAGACTCTCTCCAGGAATCACCTTACAATCATTGCATTTTAGGCAGTCTACTTTTCTCACTAAGAAATAATCTATTTGGCTCTTAACTAAATCCACTCTTAAAGGTTATCAAATGCTCATCCCTCTTCTTATACATAGTATTGGCCACCACCAGGTCAGAAGCCAACGCAAAATCTAAGATTCTCTCTCACGGCTCATTTTTGTCACCAAACCGTATCCCCATGCACCCTTTCATAACCTACTTTATCTATGCCCATATGGCCATTAAAATCTCCACCTATAACCATGTTCTCTCCTACGGGTATCTCC